ACCCCGGCCGCGGGCTCCCCGCGGGCTGGGCGGGCGGCCGCAGCTTTGTCCCCGTGCGGCCCCGTCTGCTCGGCCGGGCTCCGAGCCCGGACAGCTCCGCTCCGGGCCCGCGGAGCGGCACCGCAGCCGGGGCGGCCGCGTGGGGACCCCGCCTCGGAGGGCCCGGGGCCGGCGCTGCGCCCTCCGCTTGGCACCTGCTGGCCCCGGGGCTGGGGGGGGGGGTGGCCCCACTCCAGCCGGGGGGGCCGGGGCCGCCGGCTCGGGTGACTGGCGGGGAATTGGAGCGTGGCGCCGAGTGCCAGGGCAGCCAGCAGAGCCTCTGCGGGGGGGCGCGGGAGGGGGGCGCGGGCCCCCTGCGCTGCCGCACCGCGGGGCTGCGCCCGGGGACTCCCACGTCCCCCCCTTGCCGCGCACCGGCTCCAGCCTCGCCGCCAGCGCCGGGGGCCGTCGCCTCCTCCTTGGCTGCGGGCACAGCCAGGCCCCGGGGGGTCRCTGGCGCCGGCGGCGCCCTCCACGGCAGAGTGGGTGTCCTGACCTTGGTTCCCGGGCGGGGAGCGGCGCCCGGAGCGCTGAGACGTGCTTGGCGGCTCTGCCTGGCCGCAGTATCCGCGCGGGCCGGCGGGCGCTGGCTGCGGTGCCCGGCCAAGCCGTGTGCCACGCTCCTCCCCGCCCGCGGCAGCTCCGGGACCCGCTGGCCCGGGGGCCCCCGGCCCCCCGCGGGCACCGTGCGGCGGGCGCTGCTCCCGGCTTCGCAGGGAGGTGCTGAAGTTCCTCCGGGTTTCCTGAGCCAAGTGCGGAGGAGAAGTTGGGCTGGGGTTCGTTTCCCTGCTGTGGCCCGTGTCCGGACATTGCCCCGGCCCCAGAGCTGCCTGGGTGCTGGGGGAGAGCAAAGGGTTGTGCTGGGTCCCAGCTGGGGTCCCAGGGGAGAAGGGTGCTGAGCTTGGCACTATCCACCTTGGTGTGTCTGTCTGTCCCCTCCCGACCTGTGCCGGACATGTCCTGGTGCTGCTGGTCACCTGTTGTCCCTGTCACCTCAGTGCAGGCAGGCTGGAGGGGATGGTGGTGGCAGGGCAGGTGACAGAAGAGCCGATGGACAGAGCAGGCCGACGTGTTCGGGGCAATTCCCTTTGCCCACCCCAGCTCGAGCTCCCATGGGCGGCACCCACAATCCGCCCGCTCCGTGCTGCGCTCTCCCCGCTGTGGCACTGCGTGTCCCCCACGCTCCGGCAGCACCGCGAGCGCGGCCGGGGGCACGGAGGGTCTCCCGAGGGAGGATGTGGCTGCGGGGGTGCAGCAGGCCGGGTGGCACCCGGAGGATGCGGGCTGGGATGGCGAAGCCCGTACGGTGGCGATGCTCAACCTGGGGCTTGGTCAGCTCGAAGACTGGGGACCAGCTGCACATGTGGACCCAGTGCCACCTGGGCATGTCGCTGTGTGGGGGTCTGGCAGCCTGGAGGAGCACCGGGATCCGGGGGCTGGGTTTCGCTCTCCGTCCAGCTGTGGAGCCTGGCAGGGGACAGCAGGACAGCAGGAGGGGACGCGGGTGCAGCCTGGGGCCGTCTCGCAGCCTGGGGCACCGATCCATGGGCTGCACCGTGGCCTGGCCAAGAGCGGCCCAGCCGAGAGCCCCGCGGGTGCCCGCCGCGCTGTCCCTTGCCGCCGGCAGCAGAAGGGAGTAGCAAGCGGCTGCCCTGTGGAGCCATTCCCAGGGCAAGCGAGCTGCCGGAGCGTCCGCAGAGCGAGGAGGCCTCGAGGGCACCTCGGGGGGCACCTCGGGGGCACCTGGTCCTCCTTGCCGCGCCTGCCGCGCGTGGCTGTCCGCAGGCTGGTGCTCCTGCAGGGCTGGTGGAGGGACCCGGCGCTGCGGTCTGCTGTCCCGTCCTGAGACCTTTCCCTGGGTGGCCGGCGCGGGGTTTGCCGGGGTGCCGATACGGCCTCGATGGCAGCCAAGGTCGCGGGTGTGCAGGGCGCTGGGTGGGCGCCCGCCGCCGGGAGCAGGTGCTGGAGGACACAGCACCCGCGGCCCCATCCCTCCTGCAGCCTCGGCAGAGATCTGGGGGGCGTCTCCCCTGCAGGCGGTCCCTGGGGACCCCCTGCCCGAGGGTCCCAGTGGCCAGGCCATGGGAACTGCTTGTTGCTGTCCCCTGGCCTGGAGCTGGCCCGGGGCTCCTCATCTCTGGTCCTGGGCACGTGGTGCTCCCAGCTGGCCCCGTTCTCCAGGGGATTGGGACATCCGGAGCCCATCGGGATGCCTGCACTGCCGCTGGGTCTGTGGGAGGTGTTGGAGCCGGGGGAAGAGGCTCCCCAGGAGCCGGCCGGGGTGGCGGCTGAGGCTCACGGACCCCAGGACGGAGCTGTGGCCCGTGTCCCAGCCCAGGAAGGGTTTGGCATCGGATTGTGGGGCAGCCAGCACGAGAGCTCGGTGAGGAAGAGCACGGGCAGACCCTGGCACCCAYGGGCAGGAAGCAGCGGGTGACAGCCCTGGCCACAGGGCCGAGCGGGATCGTGTGCTGGAAAACACCACTGAGGGGGCGAGTGGGGGCAAACCCGCCTTGCCGTCCTTGGAGGTGACGCCAGGGGAAGAAATGCAACGGGATGGGAAGAGCAGGGCCTGGGGGTGGCCGGTACCAGTGGGACAGGGGTCCCTGGGCCRAGCTGCCAAGGTCCTTCAAAAGGGTCGGGGCCGCTGGGCTGGCACCGGTGCCCCTGTGCTGAGCTTGCCCAGGCTGCCGCTCAGGCCAAGTGCTGCCAAGGGCGGCTTGACCCAACCTGCCCCTTCCCCTGGGGCACCCGGGGCACCCGGCCGTTCGCTGCATGAGCCGCAGCCGCGGGCGCCGCCGCCGGGCGCCCCGCGGGGCTCCGCTGCCAGCCTCGCTGCTCCTCGCTGCTCGCCGCCTAATCCGCCGCTTAAGCTGCTCTCGGGAAATCTGTGCCCGGCTCCCGTGAGCCCCGCGGCGCGCCCGGGTGCATCCGCGGGCTGCAGTGACGGTCCCCGCGTGTCCCCACGCTCCTGCTATTCCTGGCCGCTCTCGCGCCGCAGCTGCGGCTCCGCAGACGGCTCGGCCCGGGCGCGCTCCCCTTGGCAGCAGCCCAGGGGAAACGCTGGGGACGCTGCTCCGCCGTCCTCGGCACGTCCCTTTCCCAGGGCCGCGGGGGCGAGGGGCCCCCGGCCACGCCGGGCAGTGCGGCCGGGGCCTCGCGGGGGCCGCACGGGGCAGCGCCCAACGTGGCGTGGGGCGAGCCCGTCCCCTGCCCAAACAACGCGGCCCCCGGCACAGTGGAGCCCGCGGCCTCCCTGCAGCTGCTGCTCCTGGGCCGGGTGCCGCTCCGGATGCATCGGGGTGCCCGGCGCGGCGGCGGCTCCGGCCGTGCCGTGGGAGCGCAGCGGGGGCTGCAGGGGGAAGCTGCGGCAGGGCCTGGGGTTGGCAGCGGCGGCTGCAGCGCGGGCGGCAGGAGGGGCCGGGGGAGGCGGCCAGGGCAGGGGCCTCGCGCGGGGGCCGCGGGGCGGCCGGGGCCCTCGGGGCCTGCGGGGGTCCCACCGGGGGGCTGCCGAGGTACGGGGCTGTCCCGTGGGGAGCCAGGGCCTCAATGCCCGCGCCGCAGCCCGCGGCGGAGCAAAGGGTTAAGCGCCCCCGCGGGGGGGCCGCGCCGCTGCTTAATGGTATTTGCACAGCGCCGGAGCTGGGAGCTGTTTGCTGTTCCCCGGCTGCCGGCCAGCTGCCCGCCCTGCCGCCGCGGCGGCCCCGCGGC